AGTCTCTTGGTTTGCCAAGAAACAAGTCATTATAGTGTGCTGCTTCACCAAAGCTGAGTGTCGGCACCCCTCAACATGAACCCACCACTTTAAATTGCGATAACGTCTAAGCTATAGCACTCGCCAATAATCCCGTCTTTCATACTCACACCAAACATATTGAGCTGGCTATCACTTCATTTGTGACAACGTTCACAAGAAATAACTCACTGTTCATTACATCACCACGTAAGATCAACTAGCCGAGGTCTTTACTAAAGCTCCTCCAACTCCAGATTCCAGCAGCTGACCAACATGCTGATGTTTTCGGCCGAAACCATCAATTTGCAGGGGATGTAAAGGTGACTGCTCCGTTTACCGGTTGCAGCACTGAAAACAACACCTTGGAGCATCAGGACCGTCCGCCTACACCAGACTACATCTACCCATTAATTTCATAACCACCTCACCTCTCACAAACTTTTCTATATATAGTCTGTACTATACAAACATTTGCTTTATGGAAAAAGCTGATTCCGTCATCTTCCTCTGATTTATTCGTATCTAAATCGCCTAACCTGTAATGTTTAGGCAATTATGTGAGGGGATGAGGACCAATAAGCGAACTTAGCGGCGTACCTTGACACATGCAGGTGAGTTCAACGAAGGAACTCGACATATGCAAGCAAACTCAATAGGGCTGTAATTAAACAGAGTATATCATAATTTGGAGCTTGGATTGATACAATTATAAGTTCATAATCACCTTGAGCTTATGTCAAACTTTTACATATTGTTCAAGCTTGTCTTGTTTAAATTTTTCAATATTTAAACTTGATTTATTTATGACAAGTGACAAGTATTTAAACGAGCTAAAAATTTAAACTCATATAGAGATTTTCATATATAAATAAAATAAGTAATTTTACAAAATATAAATAAATAAATAATTGTATAATCATACTAGCAAATAAACTCACATATTGTCATCTAGTGTCTATAATAGATATATTCTCACAAAAATAAATTCTAATATAGAGAAAAAAAATAAAATAAGCGCAATAAAAATCTATATAAATTAGTATTATAAAATAACTCATAATATGAAACTATTCATCAATTAGAGAAATAACTGAGAAAAATAAGTTGATTATACTAATGGCCTAACATTGCAGGCTATAGATTTAAACTAAAGCATGCATTCAATGAAACCCACTCTTTTTTTATTAAGAGCAATTAAAAAAATGATAAACAATAAGTAATAAAATATACAAACTCAAATTGATGCGGTCAAATAATCCATTTCATCGGCTAGATCGCAAAACCTTTCATGATTTCAAATGACCATAAAATAAAAAATAATACAAAATGAACTTAGAATCATATAGATTTAAAATAATCTTCTAAAAATTTAACCATTGTCTTAATTTAATGTCAATTAGATGATCTTCAAGTGCAAGATGACACCAAACTTACAAACACTTGAGAACAAATTTCGCTCCCCGTTCTTTTTTTCTTCGTTTGTTTAGTCCATTTTTCTTAAAAAAGAAAATAATAAGATTGATGAAAGAACTCAGAGAACTCAGAACCATAATGCATATCACTCCCTTTCAAGACGCCTGCAATAACTCTCGGATATCATAACCTTGGAGCTGTGTAACATGCAGACCAAAAAAGAAAAAATAAGATTAAAATTAGAACAAGAAAAATGAAATAATTTTTTGTTAAAAATTTATGCAATAATTCCATCAATAATAGCAATACTAAATAATCTAAGGGCTTATTTGGGATCAACTTTATTTTTTTTTATTTTTTTTAAAATAAATTTGTTGACTATATTTTTAAAACATTTTTATCTTTTATTTCTGAAAATAAATTAACATATTTTTAAAAATACTTAATTATTTTTAAATGTTTAGAGTGTTTTAAAAAATAAACATATTAATCAATTATGTCAAACATATTTTGTTTTAGATCAAAACATATACAAAATAAAAAAAAGGATTATAAACAACAAAAATGTTCCCAAACAGCTTTAAATTTTTAAAAATTTCAAAAACATTGTTTTACCTGAAGAAATGTCAGTACTAATATCACTCCAGAGTTCCAAAATGCATGTATGGTGATGGGAGTGAGCAGATTGCGCGTTTGAGCATAAGAAAACCCTAGGGCAGTCCCTGGTTTGGTTTTGATAAAGCAGTCAAGATAATCTTTTGTTCAGTAATATAAAAAAATATAACATTGGTGGAAAACTACTTAGCATTTACCAAAAAGCTCAAAAGCACATATTTTCCATGCCAATATTGATCCATAAAATATTGCATTTGTGTTACTCCAAAAAAAAGTTTAAAAAGGTTAAACTGAAAACTGAGGACTTTACCCTTGGCAAGGTGAGATATAAGCCTCAACACAGATTGAAGCATAAGTCTCAAAAAGGAAAACTAAAAACCATAAAATTAATAATAATTTATAAAAATGATATAAATCATATGCAAACTTATTTAGTTTTTATCATAAAGAAAAAAACCACAAAATCACATGATGAGGGGGGAATAAAAAGGAAACCACAACATTAAATTTTTATGTAAAATGAAAGATTGAAATTAGATTCAGAGCAAGCACTCATTTAAAATGTAAATACTCAACTATGATCAGGATCTACAAGGCCCTCATCCTCATTTTTAACATCTTCAAAAGAGTCATGATATGTAATAATTCAACAATCTTTTGATTCAGACTCATCTCTAACTTTAAAATATTCTTCAATTAGTGGAGATAATCCCTGTCTTTGTATTAAAGAAAAAAAAAAAAAGCTTATCCTAAACAATGATACTTCCAATTGACACAAAAATGATCTCTACTTCCCGCTCTCACACTCATACACTTTCAATGAGAATCTCATATGCACTCCCTCTTATGCCTCAATTATCTTGAGGCATATGCCACGGTCTAATAAGGCATGAACCTCATTGATGATACTGAGGTGCAAAATCAAAGCATGTTTGTGTGCATGAAATTGAGGCATACCTTGAGGCATGCTCTCTTTTCTAAACCATGCCTAAAATGGTTATAGCCTCACTTTAAATGTTGCAATGATACGTCCTACACTTGAACAAATTATGAAACATAAGACTAATCCTCCTTATTATCTCCAAAATCCACCAAACCACGTGCCATTTTATTTCAAACCAACGCTCGCAACAAATAATTTCAAATCTCAACATTTAACTGAAGTTGATAAAATTGAATAGCTCTACACAAAGTTGCACTTGATAACATAGGAAATCCACCAATTCTATTTGCCTTCATGAAAACCAAAGCCCTTTTGCATCATCCCCAAAAACATGTATCTTACAACACAAAAAGCATGCAAAGATATCACATACTAAGATAGTACATGCACCATCCCGCTAGCGCCAAAATGACATAATAAAGCATGCTCAACTTCATGATGTGAGAACCAATAATGTTCCAGACAATACAACCTCTCAAAGAAACAAAGTCATCAAAATATGACTCATAAGTGAAAAGCATCTTGTAAGAGCGCGTGATATAAACAAGTTGAATGCCTAATAAACTACTATTTGCATTTATCTCCATTAGTTACCAAACGCATGACTTATATCTAAACTAGATCCATATTCAATAACAGTAGAATGTGTCAACTTGCTCAACTTCAAGATGTGAGAACCAATAATGTTCCAGACAATACAACCTCTCAAAGAAACAAAGTCATCAAAATATGACTCATAAGTGAAAAGCATCTTGTAAGAGTGCGTGATATAAACAAGTTGAATGCCTAATAAACTACTATTTGCATTTATCTCCATTAGTTACCAAACGCATGACTTATATCTAAACTAGATCCATATTCAATAACAGTAGAATGTGTCAACTTGCTCAACTTCAAGATGTGAGAACCAATAATGTTCCAGACAATACAACCTCTCAAAGAAACAAAGTCATCAAAATATGACTCATACGTGAAAAGCATCTTGTAAGAGCGCGTGATATAAACAAGTTGAATGTCTAATAAACTACTATTTGCATTTATCTCCATTAGTTACCAAACGCATGACTTATATCTAAGCTAGATCCATATTCAATAACAGTAGAATGTGTTAACTATTCCTCCTTATGGTTATCATCTATATTCCACCCATTCCAGTTTAAGGTAAGCTAGTATCTTTTTAAATGTCATTTTTCTTATAATATAAAGAATTAGTACACTTGAACTTGCGGCAATACTTACCTTTGCTATGATTAGAAATAGATTTTATCTCAGAAGATCTCCCCCTAACCAAAGATCCCTCAAATAGCTTTTCATCTCTAACACCCTCAAGCTTATCAATCACATCATTAATTGATATTCCTTAAGCTTATTTTGTCTCTTTTATATAGTATGGCATCATAAAAATGTAATGTTTGCAATAAGAAGGTAAAAGCATAATACTGATAAAATTATCAACAATGACATCAATATTCTCAAATCTCAAATAATGATACTGAACTCATTCGAGCTCATTCAGATGTGATTTAACGGCAATGCCTTCAGCAAGTATAAATAAATAGTTTGTGCTTAAAATAGAGTTTATTGAAGAAACTTTTAGGCATACATAAAGACTAAGTTGAGCCACAAACTTTTTACTAATTTTTCGTCCAAGCCTTCAATTAAGATATAATCAAATGTACTTGAATTACCGAGAGAGCTTTTATATTCATCTATGCCTTGTTTGCTTTACTAATGCTCTCTATATATTGGCAGTCCCAATCAGTACTACCAGAAGTCAATGTCGGCCAAGAATAATACATCTTAGTTTTTTAAAGATCAAAACTCTATAAGTAATTACATTTCTCAACCTCAGACTTCAAGCCATTTAATTCCACATAATCGTCACTTTGATACTAATTATTAGAGAGTGCAAACCAAAGGGAAACCATATTTGAGATAAATAAGCCAATGATCAAACCCATTTTCAACTCAAAAGTTGAATCCTATTGGTGGAGCTCAGCACTTAGCATTTCAACTACAATATAGTTTAAATTTATCCTATGTGGGATTAAACCCAAATTAATACAAAAGAAAATTTCATAGGATAGGAAATGAAGAAAACGGCAGCTCCCTAGAAAAACAGAGGAAATGATTGAAATAACCAGAGCAAAACAAATATCATGTCCCCTTACTCCCAAGACACGGACTAATATTACGATAGAGCTACAGACAAATAATAGTTTTTTTTGAGAAAAATAAATGACAAACAAATTTAAAGTGCATTAACCAAAAAGGGGGAAAGAAATAGAGTAATGTTAAGTAAATAATAATGCACAAACACTTCATAATAATGGATCGTGTCATGTTGGCATGTGTAAGACACATGCACTTACTAGACAAATAGGACACAATCTGAGTCAATTAAAAAAATAAAGAAAAAATAATGACCGTATGTCAGAAATGCATATCATAAATAATGAATTTTAATTAAAATTATATAAATGACTTAGTCTGACACATCTATTTTTATATTTATAAATATATTATTTAAAGAACTTGATAGTTACTTAATACTAATTTTATTTTCACTGTCTCACTCTATTTTTCTTATGATTTTTATTTTTTACGAAATAATCAATTTTCTCATGTTCAAGCTAAGATTCTATAATATTATATGACTATTTCTTCTTCAATTGAGTGTAAGATACTTTAAAATTTTAGATATGTTTCTCATTTTATGAGCAAATCAAATAATTTATTATTATATGAATTTATTTTATATTTGTTTAATTAGTGTAATTACTATATATTGTTTTCTTTAATTTTAAAGAATAATATTATAATATCAATTCAAATGCATGTTCATGTCATATAATTTAATAATAGGCAGGTCTCGGGTCCATATCATATCATATTGATATCACCGTATCTACATCAATGCATCATAGTAAGCAAATTAAAATAGAAGATGAAAGCGAGAGTGGCGTGGAAACTGCATTACAAACTCTCTCATGAACACGGCGGACCTCACTTAAGCATTGCAATTAAATATTTATTGAGAATATTAATTCAAAAATAATCTATACATGAAAAAACTAATGATCAAACTTAAGAAATTTACCAAGCACAAATAGTTGAGGAAACTCTCCAGGGGTGAGGTGTGCAAGAGCAAAAGCTGCAGAACTGAGAAGAACTGCTATTGGCGTTGGAAACCTATATTACAAGTCAATCTAAAAACGATCAGAGCAATTTTAAAATAAGATGATACAAAAATCAATTGGACGAGATGTACGATAGTGGACATTATCAGATTAGCCTTGTCCCAACTATTTCAGCTTGGCTAATGAAGTGAGTTAAATTCATAAAATCCTATGAATAAGATAAAACATAACGAAGTTTGCTCATACTATCTCATAAACATGCAGAAGAACAAGAAGCCTCGTTCAGTGTCCAACATCAAAGATATGGTATTTTTTATGCACTACCCATAGTAAACCATATCGATGGTGTGCGAAAGCTAATTATTAGCATATAGTTTCATCTTCCAAACAACATATAGAGTAATATCATCTGAGATGCTATGAAAAATGATGTGATGCTAAGTATCACATCCATAAATAAACAGGCTTATTATTGAAGCCTGCCCAGCAACCAAATATTTAAAATCTATTTTAACCATACGCAGTTAAGGATTTTAACCAATCATATATAAAAGTATCTTAAGCATAACTTTTTAATAAATCATGTATCATAAAACTGAAGATTTCTCAAAAAGCACCTAAAAATTAAATTTCAAAATAGAATATTACATACAAACAAGCTAAAAATGATGGTTCACTTACTTGAAGTAATAAATAAAGAAAGCTGGTACTTTAAATTTTACCACTTAGTTAAGGATGCCATCAAAAAACCTCGAAACACAGTCTCCTCAAGTAACGGGGCCAAAACACATGTGATTGCAACTAGAAAAGCAGTGCTAAACATGACAGGATAAAAGTTAGTAAAGTCATCATTATCATTCATTTGGTGCTGATAAAATGTTTTAATTGACATGCTCTTCAAAATTTATATAAAAAAAAAGCACGTTAAGATATAAACCTGATACTTGAGGATCCAATCAAGGGCAATAATCGTATTAGAGCATCAGCCTGAAACAAAAGTAGCAATGTAAAGAGAAGAAAAGAATAGCTGAAACTTCTATATGAGATGTATAATTAATCTGCAGCATATTGGATGCAAGTAGACAAGGGAATCAAAATGAAGAGATCAAAGTTATGCCAATAAGAAAACTTCAATGTTTAGTTCAAGGGATTAATAATTTTTATTTGTGATTTGATGAGCCTCTTCAATTTTCTTATTCAACATTGAAATTTGCAAGAAAACATTCCCAATTTGGTTGTTATTACATTCGGCACAAGTTTGTATATTCTGAATCATGTTTATTCAAATGTGATATTATTGAAAAAATTATAATTCATGATATTCATTTAAGGATGGATTAGATGCAGAAGATAGTTTACAATTATATTATGAATTTACATGTGATGTTGTTAAGCTTGAATTTGTAACACACTATAACCCATTAATGAACCTGAACTTCTACCCAAATAAAAGTAAGAAACTGAACCAAATATTAAAAGTTAGCATGAAATTATATAAAAACTTAGTTTGAGAGGAATTTAATTTAGTTTTGGAAAAGAAATTTAAACTATAATTGAATAAGAGTCAAAACTTAAGCTTGAAATTAAATAGATATGAGAAAAATATCAAATATAAGAATCCATTAAAAATTGGGGTTAATACTAGAAATAAACCTATGATCATATTGAACAAAAATTACAATTAGAATTTCAACATAGTCTGTGGATGCAAGTGATCTGGACTAAAAAATAGCAAACAACAACAGGCCATGAGACAAGTAGCAATGAAAGAATAGGTGGCCAACATATTTTCCTAACAGCCTAATGGGCCCATCCAAAAAAGTAAAATTAGTCCCTTTATAGGTTCATAAGCTAGCCCAAGGTAGGTTCTATTAATCATTTTCATTTGATTTTAGTTCTTTAACAATTATTCTTATTT